AATTTTTGATTCTCACAATCTACCACAAAGATTTATCAAAGATGAGATTAACAAGATTCAAATGAGTTTCTGACTGAAGGATGAAGTTGATTTTTTCATCAAATGAGTTTAAAATGTTTTGCAATATTCTGATGAAATTTCCATCTTGAAACCTTATATGAGTAAAACGGTAGAGGGCTGTAAATATTTTTAGAAAGGTCTATATGATCAATTTTTACTATCAATGAATTTCCACTACTTGGTTGTTTTCTATTCGAGAAAAATATTAACATAACTTTTGATATCGTCTCATGCAAAACGATTAGTGCTAGACTGCTTCTCTTATAGAACTCTGCGTCAGGCTAGCCTTCTGACCAGAGCTGCAATTGATGACTAGTAACGAGATGGATGACCATTTCAGAAACTTGTCAACTGCAGGGAAGATATCGGACTAATGAAACTGCCACAGCAGCACCCTCCACCGATAACGGTAGCCGCAAGTCGGGGTATTCTTTTTCTTCTCTTATCGGCTCCATGGCTTAGACTGGGAGCAGATTCTACTGATTTTCTCGGCTCTGTATACACAAGTTCTCTATCCGAATCAAGATGATTAAAACACTGCGTTTGTTGTGCTATTTTTTCTTTTTAGATTCTTCAGAAGAAAGCGAAGAGGAAGAAGCAAAAACAAGTTCAGAATCAGACTAAATATAATCAGCAGCAGAGAACAAGTTGTAAATAAGTTATTTATTTTCTCTTGTCTTTTGAATATGATTAATCATTTACTTATCCAAAATAGAAAAAAATTATGCGATGGAAACAGCAAAAGAAACGTACAAGCGATGTGACAACGAGAAAATTGGTCAAATGTAATTGTTAACAGTTCTTTTCCTGAATTGGCTAAGATAGAACAGGGAACTATTTTACAGAATAAAGCGATTCTGATAGTCTAGAAATTTCTGATTGTCCTAAACAAACACATCGATGATATAAAATTTACTGAAGAAAGATGATTTGAAGAAATTTATTAATGAGGGCGCTGTATTTTAGTGCGTTTCATGGTGAAACATATGACTATGGCACAGATAGTGATCACCTTACTAAAATTCACTCAGATATGGAGGATCGAAGAAATGTTTGATCCGTCACTCGTACTTATTATAAAAAAAAGTTCAATAATTTACTTTTAGACTAAAAGTAAAAACACTAAAAGTGTTAGTGTTCATTTTTTTCGCTATATATTTCTTTAGTATTATTGTATTTTACCGCAACGTCTTTTATCGATAGAATCAACATTTAAAATTTACTTATCTTTCTCACACTCTTTTATTGATTTATGCTTTTTTTATTAGAAATCAAATAAATATCCTTTTAAAAAGTGAAATAATTATAAAACTTCTGCATAATTTCAGCACAATAGATTATTGATTTCTTTCGATTTTCATTGTTTTGAGCAAATACATACATTTTTTGTATTTTGAACATTGGACAAAAATTAAAACATTTTTTATCCACCTTTTATTAAAATAATTAATTTCTCTGAGCTGAAAACGTGACAAGTTTCACTTTTAAACATTAATTTAATTTACTCAGATATTACTTTTATAAAAAAATTTCCATATCGATAACAAACAAACGAACACAAGAACGAAAAATGAAAAAAAAAGACTTTTCATCTTTTTTCGGAATAAAAACATGACAACAAGTTAATAATAATAATAATAAAAAAGACATAAAAAGTGAAGAAAATGAGAAATAACAAACAACGAACATACACACACATATCCCGAAGCCCATTTTATTTTTTATCTAGATCAAGTACAATAACAATAACAAACAATAAATGTTTATTCAATAATTTTTAATACTTTTCCAACAGCCACCGTTTTTCCCTCATCTCTCAATATAAAACGTCCTAATTGTGGAAATTTTTCAAACGGTTCCATACACACACTATTTTGATTTATTTCAAATCGAACTTTGGCTGATTGATCTTGTGTAATAAAACGTTGTTGAGTATGTTCACCTTTTTTACGATCAATTAATTCTATTATTTCCTAGATAGATAAAATATATAATATATACTCTGTTATCTTTAGAAGTACGGCGCTTACTTTTAGTTGTACTTCACATACAGCACTGTGAATGTGTAATACAGCTGAATAACCCGCAGTTATAAGTGATGCATGTTCACGAACAGCAATCTAAAAACAGAAAGATTAGTGTCTTACATAAGATATAACATAGTTGTTCAACATACTTGCGCTTCAAACACTTTTCCCACTTGGCAAACATCATTTACATCACAAAGAACAAATCCTTGTGAAATTTCCTATAAAACAAGGATTGATATAGTGAGTTAATTTATTTATTAATATCAATATCTAAGTGGATGCATTGTGAAGATCACAATAACAAAAACAAAGGAAACCAAAAAATAACTAATGTTCCGTATATGGACTTAATTGGCATAAAAACTGTTAAAAAACAGTCTGTTAACAGCCACCGTTTTTTGTTCTTTATTTCATCGTGAATCATGGACTAAAAACAGACATCTAATTGTATACACAATTCACATTGGCCGTTAACTGAATAACTAAATAATAACGGCCTTAAAACAAACATCATAGAATGTCCATTTTTTAATTATAATAAAACTGTCATTTTTAGACATTAAAACATTTTCATTTTAAATGCATAAAAACGTACTAAAGATGTCCATTCAATAAAACATTGGCTGGGTTATAAATGGATGTTTATTTTGGATAATGAATTACTCAGTCTTCGATATTCTGAGTTTAGACGCATCAATATATACCCTTATATTAGAATTCATAGTGCGTCTATCCAATACAGTCATTATCTCTTACAACAAAATTGTAAAGTTTTTCTGAGGTTTGATGAACTTTTGAGACTTCCGCAGGACGACCAAAACATTGGTTAATCCTCGAAAGGGGATATTCCATAATTCAGGATGTCCATTGATGACGAAAGTCGATAAAGCATACGGTGTGAAAATTATTACAGAAAACGCTAGAAAAAATCTGAGCCGTGAAAGGGGAAAAGACGCAAAAAAGTGCGACTAACTGTTATAATGCGGTCAGCTTACAAAAATATTCAATTCGGCGACTGATAAAAAATTCGTCTGGCAAAGGTTACATACACTAAAAGTCGTTCAGATTGACACCTCTGGGCTATTAGAACTCGATTAAAGGGACGCCATCATCCTGAAGTACCACAGACCAGCTTTTTTGTTAATTTCATAGCAATACAGTGAGAGATATTTATTGTCATTCTACATACTTCTTCTTCAATATTTTTTAATTTTAATTTGACATTTTCACCGCAAAAACTAACATCCGTGTCAATATCTTCATAATAGATATTTGTTATTTCCACTTTTCGACGATTCGGCATCAGAAAACACTTATCCCCTACGCGAACACAACCCGATTCAATTTTACCCATAACAATAGTACCCATATCCTTAATAAATAATAATATTTAGAATACACCAAGTTACAGATAAACAGACATACTTTATAGCGTTCTACTATTGGCATTCGAAATGGTCCATTAATCGATGGTCTATCAATCGATGGTAAACCATCCAAATAATCAATAAATGTTGGGCCACTAAACAAATCTTGCATGATTTTATGACGAATTACATTTCTGAGATGATGACTTACCGATACCACGGTAAAATCTTTTCACCTGGATGTTCTTTGAGTACCGCACCGCTCAGTCCACTACAGGGCATAAATACGGTATCCTCACCTGGTTTAAAACCACATTTTTTCAAATAAGGTGTTAGTTTTTCCTTAATTTCTTCATATCTAACAAAAAAAAAAGAACTTATATAGAGATCACTTAACATTTTCTGAGCTTTCGTCGACTATTACGCAGACCTACCTAGCTTTGTCCCAATTCACGGTTGGATCATCCATTTTATTTATTAATACAATCATATATCTTACACCGGCTGTTTTAACTAACATAGCATGCTCACGCGTTTGACCACCACGTTCAAAACCTGTCTCAAATTCACCTTTTCGAGCTGATATCACCTAAAAACATCAAAGATTAATAATAAAAAAAGATGTACAATCTCTTCCAGCTTACCAAAATGGCAATATCGGCTTGTGATGCTCCAGAAATCATATTTGGAACAAAACATCGATGCCCAGGTGCATCCAATATAATAAAATGTTTTTTATTCGTCTCAAACCAGGCACGACCAACTTCAACCGTTTTGCCTTTATCACGTTCTTCCTCATTTGTATCCAATATCCAAGCCATATACCTGTGTCCAAAAAACAAAGATATTTGTAATTTCATCTTGACAGCGTAACAAAACACAAAATACTTACCAAGACTCACGATTCTTCTCTTGTGCTTCAGTTTGATATTTTTCCAATGTCCGTTTATCAACCCGGCCCATTAAAAACCTACAAGCGATATCGGCAGGTCTTTCAACAGCTGAAGTCATTAACGCGTCTTACATTAATTGTCCACCTATCGTTGACTTTCCAGCATCGACATGTCCACAAAATATAATGTTAACTGGATCTTTCTTCCGAATTATGTCATGTTTGACAATATTCTTTTCTTTAGACTGCTTTGTCATTTTTAATCTTTCTCCTATGTCCTTCGTTTCTTCATTCGTACTCATTTCAATATCGTCTTCCATCTCTAAAATAAAAGGAACAACATTTACTTCGGCAAAACGAAACTCGATGCGCTCTCACTTGCTCCTTCTTCTTCATCAATGACAATTTTTTCTATGTCTTGTTCATTCTGTTGTGTTGTTGTTAGTGATTGTTTTGAATCAGTATCAATTTTGTGTCTGTCATTCTCTATTAGATTATTTTCCACAGCAATTGTTTGTTGTTTACTATTTTCTGCGTGATGTCGAGATGAGACAGGAGTGGACGGGGGGGTTGTGGGCGGACGAATCCTAACAGAAGAAGCAGGCATTTGCTGTTGTTGATGTGATTGAACAGATGTTGGTGGAAAAAGAGATGATTGTTGTTGATGTTGAGCTGAGGACTGAAAATGACCACCTGGCACAAAGACGGCAGCATTTACATTTAGTTTGGCAAATTTGCTAAATGAATTATCAATGTCAGCATCTTCCCAGCTAGACGGAGGCTCTTGTTTACTCATGACTTTGAGAGATCTAAAATAATTACAAACAAGTTAGAATATGGCTAGGTTAACACAAAAATGAGAGAATATTCCTGAGGGTGTTTTATAAAAATTCATTAAGTGCTGGACTTAGTTAAGTCGAGCACTTAGAGGATTTTTATGAAAACCCTCCTGTTTCTAAGTGAAAAAATTGTTAAAAGCTTTAGAAATACGAAGAAATTGGTTAACAGATCTGCAAAAGCTTGTTTATATTTATTGATGGGTATGCTAAGTTGTGAAATGTGAAAAAACTGTAATAACTTCAACTTGCATAATTTTTCCACGCTTCCTGTCCTTACGTAATTATTCACAGAAAGAAAATTTCTTTTTTCTTGCAAGCAAAATGATTCTCGCGTGGAAATAACGTAGCATTAGTCACTAGTTTCAAAAATTATATTAATAAATCTCGGTTGGGTATGATGAATTGACCAATCAACAGTAACAAAAAAAGTTCTTATGATCTGTAGAAAAAAATCAGACCGTCAAAGTGCGTCATCTATACTTGATCTGTTAAGCGTTTTTCGGTTGGGAAAACAAACAGAACTTGTTTTTAAATTCTACTTTGTTTCTAGAAAAATAATCCATTTTCTTCGAGATCGGTATATACTGGGTAATCGTAAAAAAAAAACATATCATAATATGAAAAGTCAGTGAAATCAATATATAATAATACATCTAGCACCAATAATCTTATATAAAAGAATGTTTTTTTGAACGCCTCATTCTGCACCATCTTCTGAAGACGTGTGACTTCCTCCAACAAATCCTATAAATGTTACAGTTGTAGAATGAAGCGTGGATAAAACAGAATTTTTTCATTAAGGAAAAATAATAGAAAACCCTGTTAGACGAGTGTTTTTTATGAGCCAAACATGTGGTTCAATACTATTTTGAAACTTTTTTGCTGCATTTGTGCAGAGAAGTGCCGTTTTCTGTACCTGTGGCTATGTAGTTGCCACCATTTTTGGATAATATTTAGATAAAGTTGATTTTAAAGAAAGGACAGGTTATTCAGTAAATAGAGAAGAAAACTAATTTGTCCTACCCGATGTAGTTGAAATATCTAGAGATGAATGTCTGATATATGTTAGTTCTCTGTTTCGTCTTGCGATGTACATACTTGAAGTGAGAAAAACACTAACAAGTTATTGTCAAGGACTTAGCAGTTTTTCGATAATGAAATGTTCAGAGTTGATTTGAAGTTCCCATATACACAACTTTAAGTCTGAATTTTGTTATAGACTACTGGTTACAATAGTTTTTTTTCTCTTAAAATTATTTTCGACTTTTTCTATACATTATTCCTATACGGAGTCGAATCTGTTTATGAACCAATGCAAATGAAAATCGATTATCACCAAGTAATGATGAAGGTAAAAATTACTAACTTTTTGTTGATATTACTTAACCTATGCCATAGGAATACCCGGTATTCCGTTTGCAGAATAATTCTAATAATCAGTGATTTCAAAAGAGATAATTAATTCTCCCCGAAAAATAGATTGAAACATCCCTATCTCTCTCTCTGGTGACTTCTAGCAAACGCTTCAGAAAATTTGACCACCTTCGCAGATGTTTTTGTGAACACTTTCACGGCTTTCCTTCGTCAGAAGGAAAAACAAGTTTTAAGTTTAAAGAGGTTTTAGGGGCCAAATGGTTATTTTTACTTTTTGTTATCCTTCCTCTTCTCCCCTTCTGTTGGTAGAATTGACAGGATACGAACAGCGTTTACTGCAATAGCAGGAATTACTTATAGAAAATACTCGGCGATTTTCAAAAAGTCCACAAATGAATTCCCTAAGGATTTTCTAGGTTCTAGAACATCGAATTTCCAAAAAACTTGACGAGTTTCCAGAATTCGGGAAATTCGACGTAGAATTTCTGTAAATAGGTTCCAGGGTGCTTGAAATTTGAAACTGAATTTCCAGGTCGATTATCTTTAAACTGGAAAATAATTCCAAATTACAGCGTAGTAGACTAGCGAATATTGATTATGTATTTGTGCGTATATCCAAGAAGAAAGTTTTCATCTTTTTATCCGCTAGGACAACGCTGACAAGCTTGTCATAGGATTGAAAGTGGCATATAATTAAGGTAGGAGTGTCTGCAACAGATCTGAGGATGTTTCTCAGGTTCTGTCATTTACTTTTAAGCAATACACTTGCTTTATCGGTCCTTGTGAATGCAAAAGAAACTAACTTTATACCCTTGTCTAAAAAATCTTTGAAATAATTCTTAAAAATCTACCAGCATATTGGAAAATTGTTTTATTAACTTTGAAAATTCATCAGGGCTTTCCCTCTTGAAACGGAACTCTGTCATTTATATTTTTAAATGCTATAATTCTGGAAATATCTCAGCTATTTTGAGGGTTTAGTACGTTTTTTAGATATACTTCAAAGATTTTCGGTTTGTTTGAAAAAAAATGTTGACTTGATGATTTAATCGAAAAACGTCATGGTCACTCTCAGGCATTTTTCGACAAAAAGCCTTTTCTTGAGAAATGTTTTGATTCATTGTGATATAGATTGTTAATGTCAGGGAAGGTAAATATGCATAAAATTAAGTTTGGTGGAAAAGAACATCAATTGACAGGTCTCGTTTTTTACGAGCCGAGTTCTGATAAGTTCTCAATGTTCTCATTTTTGCAAATGTCCTTCACACCTGATCACTTCTCATCCTAGACGATGATCGTGGAACCATCACGAATACATCATTTAGTAGGGCTTGAAAAGTTGATCCTAATCCACTAATTTACATTCAACTCTGTTATTCTTATTGTATACAAAAACATTGTTTACTTCACAGAACTTTTTATTATATTATATATTTCTATCTAGTAATAATAACAAAATTAAGTTGACGAAGAGTAACAACAATCAATAACAGACTTTAGATAACAAAAAAAAAGTAGTGTGTAATATCTAAATTTCTTGTAATAATTCGGTAAATTTGGTAAACGTGTTAATGAAATCACATCGAACCGTTTTTATGGATGTTGTTAAAATCGGGGTTTGTCTCTCTAATTCCATATCTAAAAGACGAATTAATAACATTAATTTATCTTGATTTACTTTTTGTTTCAATACAAATGTTTCATAATAATAAATAAATAACCATAATGTTAATAGTGAACGTAAATTTGGTTGTTGTATGAACCATGGTTGTGTAATAATTCCATTTTTATATAAATTTAACAATTGATCACACAATTTTAGTATTATATCGGTTAATAAACGAATATTTAATTCTGAACGTTGAGTATAAAATAATTTGTATGCCTTTGTACCGTAATTTAAAGCATGTATTGATAATTGTTCTTGTTCATAACCTCGGCGATATAATGCATCTATTTGACGATATTCTAAACAATAAACATCGTTATCGACATTTGTCAATCGACATATTATAGTTTACGTACCTAATGCTAAATCATCTGCTAATCGTTTTAATCTATCATTGAAATTTGGATAAACATCTGATTCATTTGTACAGCGTAGTAATGTTTGTTGTTGTAATTCATCTAATTTTTGTTTTGATGGTTTACCGTAGACAACATTTTCACGTGCCATGCCGACACGTTTACATTTATCATATCGACAACCAGGACAATCATTACGATTCTGTGGTGTTATAATACATTTTTTTGGTTCACATGATTTATGTAATGAATTATTATTTGCACGACGAAAAAACGCTTTACACGCTTCACATGTTGATACACCAAAATGTATACCCGAACTACGATCGGAACATACTTGACAACGATCTTTTAATGAAAATACAGTAGCCGAAGATAATGTATAATCATAATCATCAACTAAGTTAGAAAAATAAAAAACTATGAAGAAAAATGTAAAATTCCATAGGTTTGTAACGTGTGAAAAAAGTACGATATCAACAAAAAGATTTACTTGAATCATCTGATCGTGATGTTATATCAGTATAATATAATCTTGATTGTTCAATATCATTCATCATTGTTTCCGAGCTTGTATTAGACATATAAGGATTTGGTGATGAAATATAGGTGCTAGAGTACGATGATGGTGTTATTGTTGATAGTGCATGATAATGATGATCCATTGTGCTATTCCCATAGAATGATGGCGGTGGATTATTTGACGGTAATGTTGGCCACTCGTAACGACGTTGAGACATAAAATGACGAAATGGATATGAAAACGGCGAAGAGTAAGCTTCCGCGGCGGCAACAGCAGCTGAATGAAATAAATTAAATGGTTCCATGTAACTAAAATAAAGTATAGTTACTAAGTGGATGCTGAGAACTAAAACGGTTTAAATAAACAGATGGATAAGAGAAAAAATATCGGTTGACTATTTCTCACATTTTCTCATTTCTGTATCGTCTATTAAAAGATTGAGAATTAAGGCTACTGGGAAGAAACTAATAGAACCCGGCAGCATAATCATTCTTCAATATAAAGTTGAATAACATTAAAAATATAATCTTTCGATTTTTTTAACGAGTGATGGAAATTTTTGAATTTCCATATATGATATTTTTTGTTCTCCACTGGTCAATAATCAAAAGAATTCTAACCCTTCGAAAATGGAAAATACCACCATGCATCGCTACTGAGTTGTTTCCCTAGTGAATGTACTGACGATCCGATACTTGGGCACTTGCAGATTTCAAGAAGCACTTAGTAAAGTACTTAGAACGTGTTTTTATAAATCAGTACTTCACAAGTGTCTGCTGAAGTGCTTTTAAAAATTCTTAAGTATCGCAAAGTTTGATAAGTACTTCCCATGTTGTCGAAACCGGCGGTTAACCGCGGTTGTTTCAGCTAAAACCATAGCAACACAGCAGAAAAACAGACGATTAACCTCACAATTAATCGGAAAAACGGTCGGTTAACCACCGGTTTCGACAACATGAGTTGTATTACTTGTAGTAATACTTGGTAAAGTACTTGTCAAGTACTTCATTTGTAAAGTGCTTACAAAGTCCATATAGAGAAGGTGCGTTTTTCATAAGACACAAATGTAGTTGAAGTATAATTCAAAATTCTGATTATTTTTAGTTGCAATTTAACTCATATCATAACGTAGTGACATCATTATTTCTATTTTTTAAATCACGTGACCAGTCAGGTTACAAGGATGCCAAACATACACAAAAAATCATTACTTTTTTACATAGTTCACAACGTTAAGAAGAAACGAGTATGCGAGAAGAGTACTCTACTTTCATGCGCAGTCTGTCTATAGACAGACTGCGCATGAAAGTAGATTATTTCTTTGTGTTATAGAAACTGGTCTAAGTATGGCTGTTGTGGTATCTAAAGCCTTGTGCAATCACTTTGCTTTACATGTTTCTCTCGTATTTTGCTGCGAGAGGAAAGATGTGAAAAAAAGAATTTTCCCGCTGATCTGTCGACAAACCAATAAACTGCTCTTATTCAATGTCTACTCTTTTTTCTACTCTTTTTCTACTCTGAACTGAAAAATGAAAGTTTGTTTTTATATTCCTTTCCTATTAGGCTGCGTACTTACTATAATACTTATCCTTCGTCCTTATAAAAAGAGTGCGTGTCGAAATGGACGCTGAAACAGGTAACAATTGAAAAAACTTTTATCTGCGTATAGTTTTATCAATATAAGTGCGGCGCGCTGAAGAAATTTGAAGAACTCGTTCACTACAAACAAAATGTTTGCTCGAATCAAGTACTGTGCCGGTAATAAAATTTTGTTAAGCTGTATGCATGTCCACCCACTTTTTCTGGATCCACTAACGCTTGAAAAAGTGACTTTTACAACCATTAGTACGTATTTGTTTCCATTTTTGGCCTACAGAACCATTTATTTTACTTATCTGCTCGTACTTGTGTTTTGCTTGCCTTTTGGGTGAACCTCTATACATATTTAAAAAAAGTCGTGATTATAAAAGAGAATATCGTTCCAAGCGTCGTTTGTTATACTAAGCTTGTCGTTTTGCACTACTTTCTTTGTGATATATACGTCTCAAACTTTATTTTTAAGTTAATTGGAGATTAGATGAAAGCGGACGATACTCCGTTTTTTCTAATCAAGAATTTATTTAATAAGATTATCCTTTTAATATTCTAAATGCGGATGCGTTCAAAAGAACCAGGTCTTGCATCCTGCATAGCTGGTCTAAATTTTATGATACAAGATCTAACGATTGAGACCGGATTCATATTTAAAAACTCAAAATGATAAATTTATTAGAGAAGTAATTGACAAGTGTTTCAGATATCCGAAGAGAAGGACGCCGCACGTACCTGAAAACTACCGGAAGGACTTGCAGACAATTTGCAAGTATTTATTATATTACTTTCAAAAATCTCCAGATATTGTGGACATTACTTATCCAGCTAATGCTTCCATTTAAATGCTAAGTAGTTTTTATTAAATGCTAAGTAAAAAGTTGTTTTTTTTCTAAGTAATTTATTAAAAATAATTATATTTTTGAGAAACAAGCAGAAATGTGATTTAGTGACTCATTCTCATGCTCCACACACTCCCTCCCCCTCACCGCCCCCCATTCACACAAAAATATAGTTTACTAAAGTAGAAATTAACTTAGCATTTAATAAAAACTACTTAGCAAAAAACTAGTAGTCCTTCTTTAAGTACTTGATCTCAAGTACATTTACTAGGGTTTTGTTTCTAAGATTCATGAATCAGTAATATCAGAATATCAATATTATCAGAAAAGAAGTTAGCATATGTCATGGTCCATCTGACAATCAAATACCTTTATACTTTCTACTTTGCGAATGTGTTTTGTCCAAAAGGTGAACTAAGTCAGTCTGTTACATCGTCTTCGAACGTGTGACTTAAGTGTCTTCGCAGTTTCACATCTGTTATGTTAAATTTAATTAATACGAAACTCTAGAAATAGTAAAACTTACTACATTGGATTGTAATGGAATGATGGTAAATTAAGCAACATTTTCAAATGCTTAACTGCAAACTGCTGAATAATTGTATTAAATACGCTATAATCTCGAGACTAGACCTGAGCAAATATTTTTATCTATTTAGAGTAGCCTAGAATAATTATGCTCAGTGGAGGAGGATCCACAGTAAATTGATTAGGACTAATTAATGCTAATAAATTTTACATCGACAGATAACTAAGAGTTATATCCATCTATCTGTTCAAAACCATTTTTCTACGGTCAAAATTAACATTACTGTGGGTAAAATACTTCAAAAATTTTAAACGTTGAGCATAGCTATTCAAGGCTGCTTTACTACCGCCTCATTTATCACAATTTTACTACTATCTTATATTCGATTCTTCTTTTTTTATTTCATTTTTTTAACGCGTGCTATCGCATTCTGTTCTCTCTTTCTTGCTTTTTTTTAATTTTATGTTTCTTTGTTATCATTTGTAATGTGTATATAAATGTAGTATGTACGCATCAAAAGAGATGTTTACAGATGAAAAGAAAAAATGCCAGAGTTTTCAGTCAAATCTTTATGATATTGTACAGATCAAAAACACTTTTTGTTATCTATAGAATTTATACACATTTGACATAGATACGTGCTAGAGAGTTTGGTAGACAACCAATAGTGTATAATGATTGAGTCAAAAACGAATGGTTTTCCCTCTCGTTTAATAGTGATAATGTGAAGAAGGCTTACCAAAATCTTCATATAAGCACACTTAATAATCATCAATTTTTGCGATTAATAAGAAGATACAAGAGCAAAGTATTTACCTTTTAGTCTCGTTAAAAAAAGAAAAAGGGAAAAGATCGTTAAAGATTACAGTAGCTGTTATTGGCAGATAACTTCGCTATAGATAGTGTAAAAAGATCACAAAATACCATTTTTCTACACAGAAATACCGCCCATGCAGGATATACGTTGGACAATTTTTCCTTCGCCAAATATTTGATTATCTCACTCATGAGGGGGACAGCTTGGTTCTGAAATTCCAAGAGGATTCGATACCAAGCCTAAATCGTTGGAAATAAAGTTAGTTCTTGCTTGACTTTGACTTTAAATAGGACACTTTGTCCTATCTACTTATGTAAAAATAAATACATTTATACTGTAATTTTCAGAAATCCAGAATCATTTTATAAAGATTCTTTCAAACATTTGATTTTGAGATAGATTTTGGAGTTTCTTTTTTGTGAAAAGACATGCCATGGACTTTGGGTATCAACAAATCCAACACAAACATCATTCAAAAAACATTTAACAGCCTTTTCATTTGAATTCGATAGTACGTATACCACTGAAGAGTCCGCGAAATACGGCAGTTAATAAATATTGATAACTCTTAACTTTTTTCGGTCAATTTTCCAGCGAAAAACCGTTTATCAAGCCATTATAATTAACAAAAATATATAAATAAACGTTCATAAATCGATTTATACCTACCTATTTCGGATTCTTCTGTGATGTATACGGAGAATTTTCGTATTGCAACTCTGCCTGAAGGAGTTTTTTTGTCGTTTCACATTGTGATATAGTACAACGGTTTTCTAGAAATTGGGCTCGTTATTCATAAATTTTCAATAAAGGACGCTTCCAGTCAAACTCATTTGCTGTATTCTATTTTTTTCCTCCCACCTTCCATAGATTCACTTTCTTTCGAAAGTTCACGCAAACCGAGGCATAGAAATGTCATCAGACAAAACCTATGACATTCCCAAAACTAAGACAATAGAAAGTTTTGAATTAAGGTTTTGCATATGAGGGTGCAAAAAATTTGAGTATAAAGAACGAGGACGGTTTCTGCAAAAAAACAGCCGTATATATTTTGAGGAGAGAATGACTGAAACTGGACAGAAATGATTAGTTATTTAGTTTTCAATACTACTGCGCTTCAAAAGTTGATGGTGGACTGCTACATCCTGACATTTTTAATCATATATAAGCATCGGTTCAGAAAGTCGATTCGATCGTATTTATTCATTTTTCTCTGTGAGTTCAATGTTGTGCTTTCTCGAAGACTGTAAACAACTATTTTTAGAACAGATGGTGTGCTCGCGAACGAAGTTTCAAAAATACGTTAAAAATTTGCAACCTCCCGTTTCCCACGATGTGCTCAAGTAAGAAACGGAAACATGATTGAAGTTTTGATTTTGCAGTTAGGTAGAGAAGAGCAATCATTTCTGATTAACCCTTCGTTATCGTCCTTATTTTATAACTTCAACAGTGTCCTAGGTTACGCATGGACCCATCCCATAAAATTACAAAAAAATGATGGTTTTGCTTTACATAGGGTATTCAAT